ATAGCACTGTATGAAGAGTCGGATTCGTGGATCACAAAGAGAGAAGTTTTATCTTTATTTGCGCAAGATTATACAAAGCTACAACTCAGAGAGATGATACCTGGAGTTACAAAGTGGCGTATTGATGAAGCACGTAGACATGCAGCAATAATGGGACCTGGAAAACCAGTTGAATTGCCAAGCCTCCATAGATCACGCATGGACCCAGTTCAAGTAGATCACTTTATTGATTTTATTTCAAGGCCTGACTACCTACAAGACGTCGCCTTCGGAATGAAAAAGCTGAAATTAGAGAATGGTGAAGCGATCACCATACCCAATGTCGTCAGAACGGTCACGGCTTCAAGACTCGTAAAACTCTATACATCATTCTGCGAGGAAAACAACTTTGAGCCTCTTAGACGCTCCTCGTTGTTTAACATTCTGAATGTAAGTAAAGCTTGACAGTACTTTATTACGAAAGCCCTACATGAACATCTGTAATAAAGCAGCTTCAATCGAAAAGCCGGTTATCAAATTTATTTAGTCGTCATTATAATAGTTATCATTACCATCATTTTCATATTATATTGATAATAGCGTTTTCGCAATGAATAGCGCAATAAAATTAGCTATAATCAAAGCCANAATAGATAATTCTGTTTTTAATAGGTTGAAACATACGTTCATGTTTTCAATCGATGTTCCCAAGATTGGTTTTCTGTAGCGTCCATTATTGAAGATCTGTTGATCAACGTCAAGGCAAATAACGAGGGCATAACAGAAGCGTTCTTAAGGTCTGATAACGCGGGCTGTTATCATTGCGGTCCACTGATGCTATCAATCGCAGGAATTTCAAAGAGAGTCGGAATAACTATAAAACGATATGACTTCAGTGACCCTCAATCCGGTAAAGACATATGCGATCGTCGCACCGCTACAATGAAAAGCCACATGCGCAGGTACAAGTAATGATATGTATTAAAAAACGTCTACGTCTATTTAACAAATATACAGTTAACTCTCTTTGAACGACCACTCTCGTAAGCGACCATCTCCCGTTATCGACACCTTTTAAATTTCCCGTTTTGTTTCCTATATAAACTATGTAAAAAACTCTCGCGTAGGCGACCACTCTTGTAGGCTACCGCGACCACCTTTGGGATTGAAATTATATAATTTTTCATTGTTTTTCCTCTCCCGTAAGCGACCACCCTCGACTGACGCAATAAAGGCGTGTGTTTAATGTACTTACAAAGCTTACACAAATTACATTTCCGGTTACTTTAAAATGTAGAGTAAAAACCGTAAAAGCGTAATATTTAGTATCAAATACATTATAGGGTTARTTATACCATCGAAACAATAGAATTACGACAATAAAATCAACTTCAAGAATTTAAGGAATGGCATGGAAGCAGTATAATTGTTCAAAGATTTTATTCTCTAAATATGAACGTGTTTTGAACTATTTGGGCTTCCTGTGTTGTGATTATCATTGTTTGGGCTTCCAGTGCTAACGTTCTCGTAAGCGACCACTTTTACCTGATCCCGAGGTGGTCGCTTACGAGAGAGTTKACTGTATATTCCATTTTTCTGTTCGTCCGCAACAGTAATATTGATAATATTTATCATCATCATCATAACAATGAGCTTATATTAATGTTTTTTTWAAATAATGTATCTCCATTGACCGTATAATACCCAGATATAATACGTGGAATACATCATAATAATTGTAATTACTCAACGCCCTCCCMAATCCAAAGAAAAAAAGAAACGAAAAGAAAARCTAAGAAAAAGCTACCGTTTTGTCAACATATCAATACAACTAACATTGTTTATTCTTAGATTTCTTAATGAAGGCAATGACATAAACTCCGCTTCCGATATGAAAAGGGCTCTGCATTCCTATGGTGGAGTTAAAGGATGCCGTGCATCAGTTTGTACAGTTGACACAACAAAGCAAGACATAACTTCACACAAGTGGAAAGGCATTACTTCATTTTACAACTTTGAGTTTAATAAGAACGGAATAAAAGTGTGGAAAGCCTTTGAAATTGGAAGTGGAAAACTTATCACTAACAAAAAGCTTAAGGATATGGCAAAACCCCAAGGAAATACAGGCCTCATCACCAACGAACCATTCGCAAATCCTGCTGAAKAAAAGGGAGCTTTTACACGCACCAAAACAGCATCCAAGAAACAAGTAAATGAAAAGAAGCAAGAGCCTTTACCTTCAGAAAATGAAACTCCAGACGTGGAAATTTCAGAACAAAGAATTTTTCACTGCCCGAACGCCAACTGCGTCAAGAGTTTTGTGTCYAGAAAAGCTCTAGAGAAACATCTCGATGCTGGCAAGMACCTATATCAGCCACAAAAAGAAAGTGTGTATGATTCCATCAAGCGCAAATGGGAAACAGCTTGCACGTCTATCAGAACAGYCCCACAAAGTTATRGTGATGAGACAGACCACAAAGGAGGAACACTGAAGAAACCACCAGTTACAAAAGGATGGGCGCTCAAAAAATCCAAAACCAAGTCCCGTTTTTCAACATCTTTAAAGTCATTTCTTAATGATATATTTTTGGAAGGAGAGGAAACGGGAAACAAAGCTGATCCTTCAGAGGTATCATCAAGAATAAGRAATATCATCGCCAACAATGGCAAGAAGAAGTTTGGACGCAAAGACTGGTTGACAAGTCAGCAAATTGCAAGCTACTTTTCCCGCCTTAGTGTTTTATATAGGAGTGGCWAATTTCCAACAGATACCGAAAATGATGAAGATATTGGCATGTTTGATGAAGCCATTGGCAGGCAGATTTTGAATGAAAATATCAGAAGGCACGTTGAGCTGTAAAGCTCTTCATTATATATGTCACTAATGCCCAACTCTTATAATTATGAATGGGTTTCTGGCAAAGGAGATCAAAATGGAGAGGTTCACGTGCAAGATTCATTTTACCCGAGAAGAAATTGGGCGCCTCACATCACAATGTTAGCCTTGTGCTAAAAGAAATCTTTCTGTATCTGTTATCTCATAAATTATTGAAATTGTCTGTTTCCACCACATTTTTGTTTGTTGTGAACATTTTTAAATCTCTAAAATTCATGTCTTTATCGTTTTTATTTTGCAAACGTTCTAATCAGTATTATGTCAAAATACACAATATCTTAGTTATAATATATCGTCATTCGCGAAATTGAACACATCTTGTAACTCTAAAAAGTAATAAAATACCTTTAACAAAGATGAATCAACAGTTCTGTGTTGATTTTATGTGAGATTTATGAAGGGAAAGACTGTTTTGCAAATGTCAATTTTCATGAATGCAACCGTAATTTGAGCTATAGGGGTTGGGAAAATTTCTCCACAATTTTTGAATTCAAGTTGCCCAAGAAAATTATGCCTGTTTTGTTGAGTCAAAGCATTGGCCTAAATGTTCGAATTGCAGTTTTGCCTCAAAAATGTTGGTCATNGGCAGGGGTTATTGTACCTTAAAGTGAAATCTGCGTACCGTTATGTCTATGATTCTGACGAAGTAGACGATGAAGAGTTAGGAAAATCAACTTTTGGGGATGACAGTGAGAAAGAAGTACAAGAGATACCCCCAAAGAAAAGTAAACTACACAGTGAGAAAGAAGATGTACAAGAAGATGTAAAGGAAGTGTTTCCCCTTGATGATCCACCTGTGAAAGAGCCATCAGCATGGGATCCTCTTGTGGATTCCATCCTGGAGCAGGAACTGTCAGACCCTGTGGAAATCCTTAGGTTTCTACAAAAGGAGCTCGTGCAAGGAAGAGTTATTGATGCAGAAAGTGATGCTGATGCCCATGATGGAGTAACAAACTCCATCTGTGTCGACAGACACAAACTTTTAGAAACCACYTTTTCAGAGTTGAAATCAGTGGAATGCTTCAACTTGACATTCGAAGTCGATTTTATGGGGGAACAGGCAAGGGACTTAGGGGGGCCAAGGAAGGAATGGATAAGACTAATGAACATTGCAATAAAGGACAAGTATTTTAAAAATGGCCTTAGAGTGCTTTTTGCAGATGACTATTATTATGTAGGGGTAATGATGGCCATAGCATTACTCCACAATGGACAGCTACCAGTGTACATGCCACCAGATGTCATCGAACAACTAGCTACACCATCAAGTAATGAGTGCATTGCAAATATCCAGCGAGGATTAAACACATGTGGTTTGGCTCATGTCATCCAGTCCTTTCCAGTTATGCTACATCTGCTCCGCCCAAGTGAGAAGAGGCTCACTCCAAAGATCCTGTTACATATGCTAAAACCATGGTTTTCGGAAGAAGGGTCAAGTTCTTTTTTRAGAGAAAAGGAGATATATGCCATGTTCATAAAGTATGTCAGAGAAACTGGGAGTGGCAGAAGAGCGCCGATTACTTTAGAGTCAATTTTGTCATTTGTAACAGGGGCCTCGGAGGAACCAGTCCTTGGATTCCAGATATYAYCMMCYAYWA